TCAATAAACATTTTGGCTGTTAAAACCCCCACAACTTCAGTGTATCCGTAAACTAAAGCCAGAAAAAGTTGTTACTCTTCATAACTACGTTTGCTGGAAGGGTAGGGAACAAAAAACTACCCTAACATAACACTTACTTTTTCAAGGTAATAATAGCTGTGTGTATGTTAAAGCCACCACGTTGCAAAACGTACATTTTAATCTCACTACCACTGCAGGCAATCATATTATTTACTGGCCTGCAGATAAAATTTTGCAAGTAGCCCTTACGTTCCAAATACCCTTTTATTAAACTAGTTTAGTGCCTAATCAATTTCAGAATTTGCTTTCACTGTTACCAGAGGTTCAGAAAATCTCTGAAATACAAGGGCAAATTCACGTTTCAAAATATATATGAAGTTAAAAAGTATGCTTATAAAGTGTCTACTTTATGTACTAAATAAAATGTATTTTGCTTTATAACTAAAATTGTACAACAACCCCATCATATTATTGCTATGAAAATGTTATTGCATGTGTTGCTATTAGTTAGTTTTAAAATTATGTTGTTGTTGTTGTTGTTGTTGTAAAAAATGTAATACTAGTAGTACCTTTCATGTCCATGCTCATCATGCATTGTCATTACATCTAATCAAAACTCCTAAGGTTAAAGCATCTAAAGTAAAATCTAAATTCCAAAACTTAATGCAAATACAAATTTGAAAATGTTTGTTGTACTAGTAGTACAAAAGGGGGGGTTGTAAAAGCAAAAAAAGAACTAACAGAAAGAAAATGCAATGTATAACAGTTTGTTAGCAAAAGTCAGGCTAAGTGTAACCCTAATAACGCGAGATTTGTAAAAGCAAGAAATGTGTAAGGTAAGTGGAAAAGAACTGTGTAAAAAGTTGTTGCGATCTTGTGTAAATAATGTGTAAATAATATGGAATATAGACTAAGAGTCTACATTAGTAAGCAAAACAAAATATCAAAATAACCTATGTGTAATCCTTCTGCCCACCTAAGTTCGCAGCAACAAGGGCCGGGTTCTGTATCTAGGGGTTCCGTTTCAATAATGCAATGCAAAACCGGCTCAAGCCCCCACCCAGTGACCTGGGACAATTACATACCACCCCGTGGGTGCCTCTAAGAGGCAATACTTCCCCTCTTGCAAGCACGGAGTCTGAGTGTGACAGAAAATGTTTAATAACACGAGGTAAACGACATCAGCATTAAATTGGAAAAACACCACAAACAGGATTCATAACACAAACCATGAGCAAAAAACCCACCCCAGCAAATTGGGCTGTGTCCTTTCCCTTTGGTTCTTGAATCCAGCAACCCAAAAATCACCCAGAGTCCCCAAAGTCCAACACCCCCAAAGTCTCTTGGGTCCAGCAACCATCCAAAAGTCCAACAGACCCCAAAGTCTCTGTCCCTGGTCAGTGCAGCCCCAGAGTAAAAGGGGGGCATGCAGGGTGTTAAGGGGCACTTTACGTGATCCGAGGCCAGCCGGCCGTCTCTCCGTGGGGTTCCGCCACAGCCTTCACCACGAGCCAGTCCACTTCCTGCCGTCCCATAAACTGCTCTGCTCTACAAGCTGCTCCGCTCTGCTCACCGACCTGTGAGCCGCTCCAGCCGTCCCCGCAAACAGCTCCGCTCACCGTTCCTTGGGCCGCTCCAACCAGCCCCGCAAGGCTCCACGCCGCTCGCTGCTCCTCCAGTCATCCCCACAAATTGCTCCAGCAGCTGCTTAGCAATATAGCTTCAGGCTCCCCCACTAGTTAACACAGCACCCAGTGCTCTCAGCTCTTAATAACTTTAGCTCTGTTGTGATTTCAGCTCTTAGCACTTTCAGCTCATAGTAGGGGAGCCCCAGTGCTAGTGCACCATTAGCCCAAAGTGAATTCAGCTCAGCAGCCTATAACTAGACTCCTAATGGAATCAAAGTTAGCTCTGACATTCAACAGTAGTGAGAGAAGTGCAATTAGTGTGTCAAGCCCTCAGAGGGGGCCCATGCCACCAGATATAAATACCTGTCCACATCCTTTCTCTATTCACTGTGTTTTGTAACCCATGCCCCTTGTCAAGCAAGTGCTACTTAGGTAATGGTGAAGGACTCACTCAGTCCTTCTGTCATACAACAGTTCCACTGGCCTTGATTCACAGACTCAGGGTAACAAAACTTTATTCTTCCTGCCCCAATAACAGAGAAAACTGGGGATCCCACACCAGCCAAAGTAACCACTTTGAGTTGCTGTTGTTTCATGCCAGGTGAGTGGGTGTGCCTATGCAAATGAGATCAGCCCCTGGAGTTCTTTTCCACACTCGCCATAATTCACCACCAGATGTCAGGGTAGAGCTCATTCTGACTCTGCTTACATATGTATAAACAAAATGCAGCTGTTGCTCATTATTGTCTGTAACAAAAGGTATAAATGCTTGCTGTAATTGTTTACCTGTGAAGAGACTTATTTAGCTCTCTCCCTCTATGCAATTGATAGAGAGAAAATAAAGTATCTGACTTGCTGTACCCGAACAAAAAGTGAGAACTCTGTTATTCTCCGACACCCTGCTCAAAGCAGGATCAATCCCCAACTAAATCATCCCAGCCAGGGCTTTGTCAAGCCTGACCTTAAAAGCCTCTAAGGAAGGAGATTCCACCACCTCCCTAGGTAACCCATTCCAGTGCTTCACCACCCTCCTCGTGAAAAAGTTTTACCTAATATCCAACCTAAACCTCTCCCACTGCTACTTGAGGCCATTACTCCTTGTTCTGTCATTAGGTACCCCTGAGAACAGTCTAGATCCATCCTCTTTGGAACCCCCTTTCAGGTAGTTGAAAGCAGCTATCAAATCCCCCCTCATTCTTCTTTTCTGCAGACAAAACAATCCCAGTCCCTCAGCCTCTCCTCATAAGTTATGTGCTCCAGCCCCCTAATCATTTTTGTTGCCCTCCGCTGGACTCTTTCCAGTGTTTCCACATCCTTCTTGTACTGTGGGGCCCAAAACTGGACACAGTACTCCAGATGAGGCCTCACCAATGTCGAATAGAGGGGAATGATCATATCCCTCGATCTGCTGGCAATGCCCCTACTTGTACAGCCCAATATGCCGTTAGCCTTCTTGGCAACAAGGGCACACTGTTGATTCATATCCAGCTTCTCGTCCACTGTAACCCCTAGGTCCTTTGTCTCAAAGTCTGGAATAAATCTGAGCTACATCCTGTCAAATAAAATTAATATCCAATCATGTAACCAAATAGCATTCAGGAAAGAAAAACCCACAACACAGAGGGGCATAAGATACTCCTGGAGTAATTCTGAGCCAAAAAATTAAAAATTCTGCATATTTTATTTGTTAAAATAACATAATATAATCATGCCAGTTTGAATTATTTTTGTAATTTATTTCAAAATACCTATCAGCAAGTATGTCTGTAACAATACAGACAAAAAAAGATTCTGGTAATTTTTCTGACAAATAGGTTCCTTATTAGGCATATTAACACAGAACTTTGAGTAATTCATTTAAACTACAACACAGAAACTTATTTCCCACCCCCTCAGAAGCCGTGCAAAGGCTTGGGGGAGTCAGGGATAATGGAAGAGCTGAGAGAAAAGGAAGGAGCCTGGAGTGAACTTGGAAGGTTGTTGGGTGTGTGTGGGAGAAGTATGGAACAGGTATTTTTGGGGGGAGGGTATGTTAGGGAGACCCTTCCCCATGCAGACCCTGATTGACCTCGAGCTGCTCCCATTCAGTCAGGCACATTTTCCCCTGTCCCTGCACCCCTCCCTATACCCATGAGTCTCTGCAGCTGCCTCCCCATCCCCATGTGTCCTGGCAGCCCCTCTCCCCTGTCCCCATGTGGCCTTGCACCCCCACTCCTATTTAGCCTCTGGCTCAATGCTGTCTCCCCAGTAACTCCTGAGCCCGTGCCCCTGTCTGTCCTCCCACTAGCCATTCTGAACCCCAGTCTGTGACCCCCACCAGAAGCCCCATATTCCCCACTCTTCTGTCCTAACCTGGTTTCATGGGCAGGCTGCTGTGATTAACATCTACTCCTGTGGGAATTCTGCGCCACTGCATGCACACAATTTTTTCCCTGCAGAAAATACTTTCTACCTGAGAAGTGCTGCACTTTCACCTTTGGCTCACCAGAGGCTGCTGTGGTGCCAGAACAGCAGGGTGCATTCACGCTTCTGGCTGTTCTGGTGCCACACTAGGCTCTGGTGGGAAAAAGGCGGAATTGCAGCACTGTGACAGACATGAATTCTGCGCATGCGCAGTGGTGCAGAATTCCCCCAGGAGTAATAAGACACTTTCAGTTTCATATAAAATGAAATTCCAGAGCAGGTTAATCTGATGATTCACAATAAAAACAGAATCTCGCACTGAATTCTCCTCTGATGCATTCAAACCTTTACCCAACACCACCCTATTATTATCAAGTCATGTTATTTACAAGACCGTTGGCATCATCATAATGGGGAAAAACAGCCAACCTTCCCATCTGTAAACAAAACTCCCAGATAAGCAGGAAAAAGGTCAGAAGCAGCTTTCCCAAGAGACAGAAACAGGGATTAAAAGCAATTACTGTGTGTTTGGGATCCATTCATGTTTTCCCTCCAACTCTCTGACACTTCAATCTCCAGCCCCAGTGAGACTGATTGAGAATCAAAGTGTGATAGCTAGCACAGGCAGCAGAGAACACTGCATCATGTGACACTTTGGGAAGCGGAGAGATTGCATATGGGGAGGATAAACTCTATTATGGCTGACACAGAAGTGAAAGCTGCTGGGGTGAGGGGGGATTGTGATAGTCACGGGGAAGGAGTGAATCCCTCTAATTCATCCTATCTTCTTCTGATGTTACAGAGGGTGAGATTTTTCCCTACCCCTGTTCCTGATCTTTGTTATAGTTCAATATATTTTAGGTGAGGAAAATGGTAGAAAATTTTTCTGTTATCCAGCACAACCTGAAGCAACGTGAGAGGAAACTGGGACTGAGACAATTTTTCCCCTAAGGGGGAAATAGACAATTGCTTTGAAATGGGGTAAGAGTAGAACTGTGATGCTCAAAATGCGCTTAGAGTAGGAAAAATTTATGGAGCTTAGGTCAGGTCAAGGGGAGAGCTAATGCCAACCACTGCATCTGCTCTACAAATATAATTGTCTTTTTACACCAAGATCACTAACTTGAGCAGCCAATGCCATGTACAGTCCTAGTGGATGTAAGGCACAGGTAGTTTTTGCCTCAGTGTAGCTTGTTGGGATCTAACCTCTCTCTCCCACCTGGAGCTGATGAACATTTCTGGCTGAGGGACACACACTCCTATGACTCAAAAGGAAAGCAGTTGATAGAAAAGATCAGAGGACTGACCCCAAAGAAGGTGAGATGCAAAGGCAGAAGCAGGCAACTCATCTGGTGGACCTGAGAGACTACAGTGAAGATGGTGCACAGAACACTATGTGAGAATTAGCAAATGTGATTTTTTTTAAAAATCTTTGCACAGCCCTAATCAAGACATTTGTTACAGTTCTCTCCCATGTGAATTCTCTGATGTCTAATAAGGTTTGACCTCTGATTGAAGCTTTTCCCACACTCAGGGCATGCGTAGGGTGTCTCTCCCATGTGGATTTTTTGATGTCTAATAAGGTTTGACCTCTGACTGAAGCTTTTCTCACACTCAGAGCATGTGTAGGGCGTCTCTCCAGTGTGAATTCTCTGATGTGTGATAAGGTATGAGCTCCGACTGAATCTTTTCCCACATTCAGGGCACGTGTAGGGTGTCTCTCCAGTGTGGATTTTCTGATGTCTAAGAAGGGTTGAGTTCTGACTGAAGCTTTTCCCACACTCTGTGCATGTGTAAGGTGTCTCGCCAGTGTGGATTCTCTGATGCGTGATAACGGCTGAGCTCCGACTGAAGCTTTTCCCACACTCAGGGCATGTGTAGGGTGTCACACCAGTGTGGATTCTCTGATGTGTGATAAGGCCTGAGCTATCACTGAAGCTTTTGCCACACTCAAGGCATGTGTAGGGTCTCTCTCCAGTGTGGATTCTCTGATGTGTGATGAGGGCTGAGCTATGCCGGAAGCTTTTCTCACACCCAGGGCATGTGTAGGGTTTCTCTCCTGTGTGAATTCTCTGATGTGTCATAAGGGCTGATCTGTGATTGAAGCTTTTCCCACACTCAGAGCATGTGTAAGGTGTCTCTCCAGTGTGAATTCTCTGATGTCTAATAAGGGTTGAGCTATGACTGAAGCTTTTGGCACACTCAGAGCATGTGTAGGGTCTTTCTCCAGAGTGGATTCTATAGTGTGTTATAAAGGCAGAGCGGTGATTGAAGCTTTTCCCACACTCTTGGCATGCATAGCGTGCCTCTTCCAAGTTGATTCTCTCATTTCCAGTAAGGTCTGAGTGGCTACTGAAATTTTCCTCTGGCCTGTGCTGACTCTCCCAGGTTTTTGCTTTTTCTGGGAGTTCACAACTCCCGGAAACATTCCCTTTGGATCTTCCTGATAATGTTCCATGTTGTTCTACTTGCTCAGCATCTTCCTGCTGGGGTTTCTCCTCCTCATTCTCACTCACCATCCCATCACCTGATGGGAGACAGGGAGAATTCAGACATAGGTCAATCCCTGCACCGGAGAGAAAGGAAATCTCAGAGAGAGCAATGGAAAAGGGTATGAACAAATCAAAATATGTGTTGGAGAGATCAAACCTATCAGGAGCTGATTTTCCCCCAAACTCTTCCCCAGAGGAGAGAGGAAGGGATCAGTTTTGGTCCACATCTCACCAGAACACTCAGGGGAAAGCAAGATCGGGGAGGGACCTGCTGCCAGTTGTCAGTCAGGATAGGTGGGAAGCCATGAGTGACATCTGCCATAATGATTCCACACCTGCTGGGAACAATCCTGAACTTGGAGTGCTCACAAGGTCATTGTAGGGCATCCCAAATGTTTCCTGTATTCACAGACAGTTTTTGAGTTGGTTTAACCAATTCCTCACCTGTGAAGGTAGCTCTCGGGAGCACTTCTTTCTCAGAGCGCTGGATGTCTGGGACCCACGGCTCTTCCCCTCGTTCCATCTGGAATATCATATCAGGTTTGGAAACTGGAAACCCTGCTCAAGGCAAAGAAAACAAGGGAGGTCAGTGGAATTTGTGGGATACTTGTCACAAAGAATATTCCATGGTTTTACCCCCAGCTCATTTTTAAGCAGTAGCATCCCAAGGCTAGCTTTCTTGGGTCAAAGTGGCAGGATAGTTATAATTATTATTAACCATGTTCATTGCCTTTGTGACTAAGGATCAACTGACACTATGTCTACACTACAGAGTTAAGTTGACTTAAGTTACGTCAATGATCATAAACTGCCGTAATTACATTATTTTTCTCAATTTAGAATTCTACAGGCAGCATATTTTCCTCTTAAAATGAGGAAAAGGCATGAAAGCTATCATTATCAATATAGTTTTAATGCATTCAATAAGGATATATTAAATGCAATTTTAAAATGACTGACAGCACCAAAAAGGCACATGTCCAAAAATTATACTAATAGGTGGGAGATAAGGCAAGAAAAGGGGGGAAAGGAAACCTGCAAAGCTTTCATGAGTAAAGGTATAAAGTTATTACCACTCAAGTTCTTCAGAGACCCCACAGCTTCTAGTAACCAAGAGGACATGACTCCTTACCCAACAAGACCACCGTCTCATAGTTCTCCTGCATGACGTCCCTGTAGAGGGTTCTCTGAGCAGGGTCCAGCAGAGCCCCCTCCTCCCTGGTGAAATACACAGCCACCTCCTCAAAAGTCACCGGCCCCTGAAAGAGCAAGAGTCCAACACTTAGTACCTGCTACCCCACTCACAACCCCACTATTCACGGAACAGTAGGGCCATGTAAATTTAAGCTCCAGGAGGCACATGTTAGCAGAGTCCCACCCCACCTTGCTTAGAGCAGCCAGGAGGCATCAGAGGGTAGAAAGAGAGAACCTTTGTGTCACCCAGCTGACAGATGGAGGCAGGGTCTTCACATTTATCACATACCTACTAGCCAGAGCTCGATATAGGAGATGGGGCTGTCTCTGGACCCTGCTGGTGGCTCCCTGGTAGGAATCCCAACACTCTCCAAATAAAATATATGGAAGAAAGGGGAAGTCAATAGTAAAGAATATAAGTTAGAAGGTCGGAATTGTAGAAAATTGGTAAGGGAAGGGTAGTTGGGTGGCTGCCCCACTCCATGAGAAAAAGGGCTGGAACAGGCCAGAGAGGCTGCACAGACCAGCAGCCAATCAGCAAAGGCCTGTGGAGAGCAAAGAAAGAGGCAGCCAATCAGGGCTGGGCTGGGCCCTATATAAAGACTGCCTAGCAAAGGAGAGGGCAGTCTTTCCCTGACTAGCAAGGGAGGAGGATTGGTTCCTGAGGTAGGGAGGTAGCACCTTGGACAGAGCAGTGTGGGGCAGGCTTGGGGGAGCAGAGGAGAGCTCCAGCCCAGTTACCTGCCAGGCTGCGGCCCCTGATAAAAAGGATGGAGAAGGTGCTCGGGGCCAAAGAGGAAGGGGCCCAGAGAAGATAGGTGGACAAGAGGGGAAAGAAGGAGGGCAGAGGGAGGCTGCCACTAGAGGGTCCCTGGGTCAGGACCCAGAATAGCGCGTGGCCCTGAGTTCCCCCTCTTCCCCCCCTTGCACTGCACCTGGCCACTGAGGAGTGTGGTTGAGAAAGACTGCAACTTACCCCTGAGGTGAGGGGCTAGACTTTGGGGTTGTGGTTGGCCACTGAGGCAGATGCAAGCCGAAGGACTGCCATTAACCCCCCCCCCCGAAGGGGATGAGAATGGAGTAGTGGGCTCTGGAGGGCAATGTCCTGAAGAGGACACCACAAAGCAGGGAGCAAGGCGGTTCCCAAATCAGCAGAGCAGACAACGGGCGAGACACCACGCACAGACAAGAGCTAATTCCCGGAGCAACTAGCAGGAGGTGTTTAAATCAGCAGGTCCATGTAACTTGTATCGAAGAGTTTTAAAAGACCTGTCAGAGGAGCGTGTTGGACTGTTAATGTTGATTTTCATTAGGGCTTGGAACACTGGGGAAATTCCAGGAGATCGGAATAAAGCTAATGCTGTGCCAGTATTTAAAAAGTATAAAAGAGATGATGCAGCTAATTAGAAGAGTGTCAATCTGACATCAATACTGGGCAAGAGAATGGAGCAGCCAATACTGGATTTCATTAATAAAGACTTAAAGGTGGGTAATATAATTAGTATCCATCAACAAAGGTTTAGAGAAAATAGATCCTATCAAACTAACTGGATATCCTTATTGGATGAACCAAACCAAAGTTTGGTTGCAGCTAATAGTATTGATGTAATATACCTAGACTTCTGTAAGGCTAATGACTTGGTTCACCACAATATTTTGACTAAAAGACTAGAATGATACAAAATAAACATGGCATACATAAAATATGTGATTGTAAATGCGGAAGTGTAGTTGAGTGGATTTAATTATAGCAGGTTCCCGCAAGGATTGGTTCTTGGCCCTGTGATATTTCACATTCTTATCAATGACCTGGAAGAGAATATAAAATCATCACTGATAAATTTTGCAGTTGCCACAAAGATTGGGGGTGGTGGTAACTAATGAAGTGTCAGTCGATTCCGGTTCCAGCACTGGGCGACTGGGAAGTTTTCCCAGCCCTGGCTAGGGGGTTACTTCCTGTTCCACAAAGAGGGGAAGTTCCATTCCCAACTCCTGTGCCTTGAAACTAGGCCCTATCTGACACTACACCCCATAGTCTTGTGATTATAATATGATTATGACATAATTATGATGCATTTTGTACAAGATGTGTCATGTGTGGTGTCAAAAGTGATGATTTGCTAAATATAATTGTGACATTGTGCAGTCTATATGGTTTTATAAAAACATAATAAGAAGTGAATATAATGTAACTGGAATATGCTTCATGCAAAAGGTCTCTTGTAAGGTATCATTACAAAGCTTATAATCTACTGAGTGTGATCATCCTATATGTATAAATGTACCACTCTTGTATCTAAAACTAGAAATATGAAATATAACTCTGAGGGCCTATTGTAATTATGCAAAGTGTGGGCCATTAATAGTGGTTTGGAATCTTGATGACTCCCATTAACCAGGACCATGGTCTGCAGATGGCTGTGTTTACCTGTTAAGTCTTCCTGTATATGTGTGTGCCGGCAAGTGGGTAATGAAGTCTTGCAGTGATATGTGATCATGTCACCTGAACTGGAATCCATCTTTAACCTGGTGCTTTTCCAGTGGGGGGGGACCCAGAGGGACAAAGGGTTCCCGCCTTATGCAAAAGATATATAAAGGGGTGGAAGAGAACAAAGTGAGGAGAGGAGCGATCATGAAGAATCCCCTAGCTATCACCTGAGCTGCAACAAGAGCTGTACCAGGGGAAAGAATTGTGCCCAGGCCTGGAAGTGTCCAGTCTGAGAAAAAGCTTACTGAAGCATCTCTGAGGATGAGATTATCTGTATTCAGTTTGATTAGACATAGATTTGCGCATTTTATTTTATTTTGTTTGGTGACTTACTTTGTTCTGTCTGTTACTAATTGGAAGCACTTAAATCCTACTTTCTGTATTTAATAAAATCACTTTCTACTTAGTAATTAACTCAGAGTATGTATTAATACCCGGGGGAGCAAACAACTGTGCATATCTCTCTATCAGTGTTATAGAGGGTGAACAATTTATGAGTTTACCTGTATAAGCTTTATACAGGGTAAAATGGATTTATTTGGGTTTAGACCCCTTTGGGAGTTGGGCATCTGAGTGCTAAAGACAAGCAAACTTCTGTGAGCTGTTTTCAGGTAAACTTGCAGCTTTGGGGCTGTGTTGGAGCAGATGGGAGTGTCTGGCTCAGCAAGACAGGGTGCTGAAGTCCTGAGCTGGCAGGGAAAACAGGAATAGAAGTAGTCTTGGTACATTAGGTGGCAGCTCCCAAGGGGGTTTCTGTGAACCAACCCGTCACAATAATTATCCTACCTGTGTGCATGGATCATGTTTGTATCTGAAGTTACGGATATTGACTATGTATATGAATTTCAAATGTGCTTACTCTGGGTAACACCCACAACGAGCCTTTCAGGTACAACAATGAAGAAGCCAGACAGTGCTGATGGCTCATCAACAAAGACAATGGAAGAGCTTAGCATTCCCATGAACCTTTCAGTGAACCTATGAGTAATGGCTGCTATTGTAACACCGATGGACCCCGGTCATCAATGGGTGGGATCGAACCTCAGGCCTCTCGAGTTTAGTGCACGAGCCTCTACTGCATGAGCTAAAAAGCCATGTAGCCCTTAACTAAGACGGTAGAGCAGACTCATTAATCTCTCTCTAAGTGGGACAGAACTCCACACCCAGGAGTGTGACATCATCTCTTGGCCTCATTCCCCACACAAGAGAACTCCTGGAAACAGCTGACGAATAAAGACTGAACTGGGGTAGTGCTGGTCCCAGGGTAATGGGATTTCTAGCTTGTGTATGGAAACTTGGTGGACTGCTTCTATCGTCATTCAGGGTGAGAAATTGCTAATTCAAATTCTATCCATCTAGTACAGGGGTAGGCAACCTATGGCATGCGTGCCAAAGGTGGCACACGAGCTGATTTTCAGTGGCACTCACACTGCCCAGGTCCTGGCCACCGGTCCAGGGGGCTCTGCATTTTAATTTAATTTTAAATGAAGCTTCTTAAACATTTTAAAAACCTTATTTACTTTACATACAACAATAGTTTAGTTATATATTATAGTCTTAGAGAAAGACCTTCTAAAAATGTTAAAATGTATGACTGGCACGCGAAACCTTAAATTAGAGTGAATAAATGAAGACTCGGCATACCACTTCTGAAAGGTTGCTGATCCCGGATCTAGTATGCTAGGCTTAGTTTGAGTTTTTGATGATTTGCTAAGTAACCTACTTTGATCTGTTTGCTATCACTTATAATCACTTAAAATCTATCTTTCTGTAGTTAATAAACTTCTTTTATGCTTTATCTTAACCAGTGTATTTTGAGTGAAGTTTCTGGGGAAAATCTCAGCTTGGTTAGCACAAGCTTGTTGTGCATATCTTCCCCATATCGAGGGAAAGGCGAACTATATTAATGAGCTTACATTATACAGATCCCTGTGCACTATAAGATGGTATAATTCTGGATATATACTACAGCAGGTGTACAAGGTTGGGGAGCTGGGAAATTGGCTGTTGTCTTATATCTGTCTTTGAGTGGCTTAGGTAAAGCACTCAGGTAGCTGAGTTGGATGTGTGGTGCCACCTGCTGTTCTATAGGGTGATAACAGGGCTTGGAGAGGCTGGCTGAATCTCCAGCAAAGCAATGTGAGAAGGGCCAGCCCAGCTTCAGAGTTAGAGGGCACAGCGGTTCCCAGAAGCCCCCCACATTGCACCCCAGGGTGACAACCCATCACACCCTAGATTACACAAGTCTCAGCAGGTTTGTCACATCCTGTCCCCTCCCCTTCTCCAATCTAGAAATGTCCTGCCTCCCAGCACTTCTAGCAGCTCCCACCCTCCTATGCATTTACTGCTCCTCTCCCTCCAAGCAGAACCCACCACCAGCTCCCTGATAATCCCTTACCTGAGCCAGCTCCATTGCAGCCATTTCCTTCCCCCTGGGAGGAGGGGGTGATCTGGAGTGAAATGTGGACGTTATTCTGTAGCCTGCCAGGGCGAGAAGGGCAATGTGAGAGACTTCAGACGGGGTTTTTTCCATTCCAAAAGACGATTCCCCCCAGGATTTTTCCCTGCTAACAGACATTCTAGGTTCTGCCACATTGTGAATCACAGAGTGACCTTATTCCAGACAGGCCCAGCCTCCTTCCACCAGGATGCAACCCTCTGAGACATGGTGAAACCCTCCCAGTAACTGAGTCTCTGAACCAAAGTCCAGAGAAGAGCAGAATCCCAGGAGTGACTTTGGGGGATTCTCCCTCTCATTGTCCCCAAGGCAGCTGTCTCAGGTTTACTAAGTTGTTTGATGCTCCAGCCTTTATACAGTCTCTCCTGGGAGTGCCCCCTTTCATGGGCTGGGCCTAGTTTCAGCTTTTGACAAGCGTGACCCTCGGGGCTCTGAGACTGGGCCTCCTTGTCTCAGCACACCTTGTTTCTTTCTGTGGCTCCCCAGTGAGTCCAAATGAGTAGATACTCCTGATAGAAACTGTGAACATAAGAAAGATCCACTGAGTCAGACCAATGGTCCATCTAGCTCAGTGGCCAATGCCAGGTGCTTCAGAGGGAATGAACAGAACAGGGAATCATCATGTGATCCATCCCGTCACCCATTCCCACTTCTGACAAACAGAGGTTAGAGACACCATCCCTGCCCATCCTGCCTGTGACACTGGCAGATGAAGAGTTAACTCTTGCAAAAGCCCCCATGTCTCAATTGAACAGGGACAAAGGCATAGCTGGAATCAGTCTGGCTCACTTGTGTTAGTATTGTTAAAACAGGTATTAGAATTATAAGCATTTGTTTAGTGTTTAGACTTTATTGAATGCTTTTGAGTTGCTGCCTGCGATAATATCTGAGTATCATAGGACGAAAAGGGACCTCGAGAGGTCATCTGTCCTGCCATGAGTGCCGGGGACTGGACTAAAGTTTTATCTAGACCATCCCTGACAGGTATTTTCTAACCTGCTCTTAAAAATCTCCAATGATGGAGTTTCAACAACCTCCCTAGGCAATTTATTCCAGTGCTTAGCCACCCTGACAGGAAGTTTTTTCTAATGTCCCACCTAAACCTCCTTTGCTGCAATTTAAGCACATTGCTTCTTGTCCTATCCTCAGCACCCCTGTGAATGCCACAAGCAATCTTGTGTCATAGCTACTACGTGTGGTGAGATCAATGTCACACTCCCCTTGCCTTTGCTGCTTTAAGGAATAACTTCACGGCCACTTGTGACATGTTAGTCCAAGTGAGCAGCATACTGATCAACAATGCAGGATTCATTCCTGCAGACTGAAGAGGCAGAGCGTGCAGTACACAAACCATTGAAAGATGGCGCCAATTGTGGAAGGTCCACCTAGCTCTTCCGACAGTGGCCAGTGCCAGGTGCCCCAGAGGGAATGAACAGAACAGGTCATCATCAAGTGAACCATCCCCTGTCGCTCATTCCCAGCTTCTGGCAAACAGAGGCTAGGGACACCATTCCTGCCCAGCCTGGCTAATAGCCATTGATGGACCTATCCTCCATGAATTTATCTAGTTCTTTTTTTGAACCCTGTTATGGTCTTGGCCTTCACAACATCCTCTGGCAAGGAGTTCCACAGGTTGACTGTGCATTGTGTGAAGAAATACTTACTTTTATTTGTTTTAAACCTGCTGCCTATTAATTTCATTTGGTGAGCCCTAGTTCTTGTGTTATGAGAAGGAGTAAACAACACTTCCTTATCTATTTTCTCTACACCAGTCCTGATTTTATAGACCTCAATCATATCTCCCCTTAGCCGTCTCTTTTCCAAGCTGAAAAGTCCTAGTCTTATTCATCTCTCCTCATACAAAAGCCATTCCATACCCCTAATCATTTTGTTCCCTTTTCTCAATCTTTTCCAATTCCAATATATCTTTTCTGAGATGGGGCAACCACATCTGCATGCAGTATTCAAGATGTGGGCATACCATGGATTTATATAGAGGCAACATGATATTTTTTATCCTATTTTCTATCACTTTCTTAATGATTCCCAGCATTCTGCTTTTGTGACTGCTACTGCACACTGAGTGGATGTTTTCAGAGAACTATCGACAATGACTCCAAGATCTCTTTCTTGAGTGGTAACAACTAACCTAGACCCCATCATTTTATATGTATAGTTGGGATTATGCTTTCCAATCTGCATTACTTTGCATTTATTAACATGAAATTTGATCTACCATTTTGTTGCCCAGTCACCCAGCTTTGAGAAATCCTTTTGTAGCTCTTCGCAGTTTGCCTGAGTCTTAACTATCTTTGGTATCTTTAGTAATTTTGTATCAGGACCCAGGATGCCCCATGACCCCTCCACCTTCCCACAACTCCTAGCGGCAGAAGGGGAAGAGATGTTCTGTGGGATAGCTGCCCCGAGTGCACCACTCTGAATATCACTGCAAGTGCTGCTAGTGTGAACACGCTATTGCGCAGGCAGCTGACAGTGTGAACTCACAATAGCGGTTTCCCTTCAGCGCTCTCTGAGTGGTGCTGTAACTCTGCCAGTGTAGACATATCCTTACTCTCTTCCCATTGGGGAATAGCTCAGGGCAACAATTTCCCACCGAAGCAAGGAGAAATCCTGCAGATAGAGTGGGTGGGGAAACCCACCAAATCTGAGGTGTTTTTTAAAAAGCATTGGAGCTTTAGAGAGAAAAGGGGACAAAATCAGTGGAGGAAAATAGAGAAATTGTGAATAAATTGACACCACTGGGGAGCAGCAACTGCTCAGCCCAGCTCCTGGATCAGAAAGGAGACAGCAGCATCCTGTATTTTACCAAGCACTCACTACTCCTGGGGGAATTCTGCGCCAAAAAATTAAAAATTCTACACACAATATTTTAAAATTCTGCATATTTTATTTGTCAAAATAACAAAATATAAGCATGCCATTTTCAATTGTTTTGGTAATTTATTTCAAAATACCTGTCACCAAGTATATCTCTAACAATACAGACAACCCTCGACCCAAAGAACAAACAAAAAAGCACCAATGATTCAGGTATATTTTTTTACAAATAGATTCCTTACTAGGCATATTAATACAGAACTTTGAGTAATTACTTCAAAATACAATAGAGAACTGTATTTCCCACACCCCTCAGAAGCAGCGCAAAGGCTTGGAGGAGTCAGGGGCGACAGGGGAGCTGAGGGAGAGGGAAGGAGCCTGGGAGTGAACCTGGTGGGTTATTTGGTGCGGGTAAGAGACGTATGAAACAGATTTTTGGGGGGAGGGGAAGCGATTGTTACGAGTTGGGGAGCCTCCCTCATGTAGACCCTGGCTGACCACAAGCCTCTCCCATTCACTCAGGCACACCTGCCCCTGTCCCTGTGTGTCCCTGCAGCCCCCCATGTGTCCCTGAACCTCCATACCCCCTGTCACCATGTGGCCCTGCAGCCCGCCTCCCATTCAACCCCTGGCTCAATGCTGTCACCCCACTAGCTCCTAAGGCTATGCCCCAGTCTGTGTCCCCCGCCCCACTAGGCATTCTGAACCCCAGTCTGTGACACACACCTCCACCATCCCATGTGCCCCATTGTCTGTCCTAACCTGGCTCTGCAGGCAGAGTGCTGTGATGAGCCCAGTTTACTGCTGGCTGGTCTGGCTCCACAGTGTCCTCTGGTGGGTGAAAGGTGTAAATGCAGTACTTCTCGGGCAGAATGTATTTTCTGCGGAGGGGAGAAAAGAAATTATGTGCTGGACATGAATTCTGCATGTGAGGAATAACTCACACCCTGCACAAACATCACCTGCTCACTCCCATCTCTTCTCCCTAGGTGTCTCCAAGTCCCAGAGCTGCTGCTGTCACTGACATACAGAGGCTTTCACTCCCATTAGTGATGGCAGGACCCAATCATTACAGGAGTGAACCCTAATTTCCTCATCACATGGGACAGTCTCAGCTGAGGGGGAAGTAAAAAGGGGAGGAGGTACAAAGGGAAAAGGAGAAAGACTGAATGGGTTCTTGTAGCCATGTTTGTCCCAGGATATTAAAGAGAAGTAGTTTTTTTAATAAGTCCTAAAAGAAATTACTTCACACACCTTGTCTCTCCAAAAGACCTGAAAGTGGCAGAAGGAGAAATAAGCAGGAAGACAGAGTTCATGACTCTAAACCAAACATTTTCAACCCCACAGAGGAAACTACATTTCCCATCTGCCCATGGGTGTATTTGTGTCCTATATGGGGGACCACCCCATTCCTCTCATAGCAGCAAGGGGAGACTGCAGCCAGCCCCAAATGGTCCTTCCCCATCCTGGGATGTGTGTTGAGATGAAGTGTGTGTGTGTGTGTGTGTGTGTGTGTGTGTGTGTGTGTGTGTGTGTGTGTGTGTGTGTGGTGGT